AGTCAAGCTACAACACCAAACTTTTCTAATATTTTGTGTCATCAAAACTACTTTTCAACCTCCGCTTGCACCAACAGCACCTGTGGTACGCCCTCCAGCTGTGTGGAGAGAGACAAATGAGCTCCCGCACACGTCAAGAGTGAGGATAAAGGTAGAGATAGGGGTAGAGGTGCTCGGAGTCGGAGCTAGAGTCAAAGCGGAAACATCGAGTCCCGGATGCAGAGGGCTTCTTCATCTGCTGGGAGGATTTTTACCGCTGAGGGCACTGAGACCAGAGATAATGAGGAGATCGTGAGTGAGCACTCAAAGTCCGAGAATGGGGATGATGATTCTAGTTTGGAGTCACACTCTTCCAGTGAGAGTCCTGCTAATGGTGATAGTGATCCTAAGTCTTGTCCTCGAAAGACGAGGAAGAGAGCTTCCCGACACACCTAACCTAGCGGATGCTAACTTTCAAACTCCTCTTTTTTCTTTTCTTTTCCTTTCTAGTTCATAAATTGTATAGCTTCAGATAGTTTCTTTACTTTTTTCTTTTGAAAACTTGCTTCTTTTTTTCTTTTTTTTTTTTTTTTTTTTTTTTTTTTTGTAAAAACTATGATCGGGTCGAGCTTTGCAGTTTTAGAAAAGAAAGAATTTTTTGTGTTGCGGAGCATCTCAAGAATGGCACAACACTTGCATAAAAATGATTGTATTTCTGAATTTGAAATTGAGAATGATCACAATTGAATGAGTTCGCAATCAGATACTGAGCCTACAACTGACCAAAATACAAACAACGACTCAACAAAGGAAAAACAAAGTAAAAACAACTGAAGTACACCTATTCACACTTGTTAGAAATAAACGACTTCAGACAAGACTTAAAAACAAAGAGGGCAAACATAATACTACTGCCAAGCTGTTTAGTCGGCATACTTGGCTGGCCAACCAACAAAATGTACGGCCAGCTGGATATGCGGCCGGCAGGCCAAGATTTGCGGCTGGACAGTGTAGACGCGCCCTCGGGCCTCATGCTACAGTTCGAACTCAATTGGTGTCACGGTCCTGTATCTAATCTTGCAGAGTGCAATGCAAGACCGATGAATCATCAAGGAGTCCAAATCTGGCAAATCGTTTTTGAAAACAAATTTTTTTCAAAGAAGTGCCAACCATGGACTGCTTTGCCAGATACAGAGCCGCCACCTAAATCTTTTATTTTGGGAAATTTAGGAAACCCTGACTCATTTGCCTAAGGCCACGTGTCCGTCATCACCAAAGTTGCCTCGGCTCGGCAACTTGGGTACGATTGGGGAAGGTTAGCTATGAGCACCCCCTCTCGCCCGATTCGAAGATCAGCCTCTACTAACCATGATATGTACGATTGGGGAAGGTCAGCTATGAGCACCCCCTCTCGCCCGATCCGAAGATCGGCCTCTACTAACCGTGATATCCGTTTTTGAAAACGTTATGTGTTCTTATTCCGGTTATTAGCCTAGAATTACTATGTTATGCGCACAGCAAACAAGTATAGACCAAATCGCCTAAATTGGAACAAAACATTTCATGCTTGTTTTGAAAATGGTTTGCTACTCGCAAGTAGGCTAAAAATGTAGATTTCGCCACCCTCAGGTGGGCTTTAGAAAAGATGATTTTGCCACTATCTAGTGGGCTTAAAACTCACAGTTTTAATGCGTTATCCCAATTTAGTTAATTCAACCTCCATCCACAGGCATTCAAGCAGTTATATCACATAAGCAGCTAGCCTCATGGTAATCATGCTATTATGGCAACACTCACACGCATGCGGTATGCTAAAGCATAAATGCTTACCGAGTACTCCAAGCCAGAACAGAAGCTAGTTAGTAATCATGTGCATGATCCTAGTTCATGTTGAGATGGCTAATGCAACACATGCAAGATGCAACTACAATAGGCTCGGCTATCCTAAGGATGGCATGTGAAAATGCTGCAACTAACAGGTATTCAACTTGGAATTGAAATACAAGTGCAATTAGTATGATGTACCGAGCCTAGTGCATGTAAGACGAATGAATGGATGCAAACATGCTATCGTACTATATGCTAATTGAAGCATGCCCTAGACTAACCATCGAAAACTAGTAAATAAAAGGGAAGAAAGACATGGGGTTGGGAGACATACACACACTCACGCACACTTATTACACAATTGCCCTCTCTCGGATGGTCCGAATAAATATTACAGTCCGAATAAATAATACTAAATTAATTATTACAGAATCTCTAATTAATTAACAAATTAAATGCAGAAAAAGGTGGCCACAGCCCGCCTCGGGATGCGTGAATGACGCATGCTTGACTCGTCTCGCCTGAAAGCTCACTACCATAGCACTGTTGCCTCTGTGTACACTGCCTTCCCCCTTTAAAAATTCTGAAAGTCCCCAGAACTGTTCCTTGAGCATTGTGGAATGTTACCGGCCAAAAGAATATACTACCGGCCATGGGAATACTCTCATCGGCTAAATATTGTGCTCTCGGCCAATATTCCTGGCCGGTCGGCACTGTATTTAGCCGACCGGCCAAAACTTCCTGCAGAACCTGCAGTTGACAGCAGTAGAGGGCAAGCAGTGTATGGCATGGAATTTTCAAGCAAATGTATGCACGGACACACTCTCTATCATGTTATGGACTCAAGGGAGCGTCGCCCTCGACCCTCGGGGCATCAATTGCGCATTTCGATGCATGATGGTCCAAAAGGCCAAGTATGCAATTTCAATGTAAAATGAAATGCACACAAAACATACAAAGGGGCCCCAACCTCCATCATGTTTGATCAAGAGGGATGGGATGCAAACATGCAAGCAAGACTAATGCAACATGAGTATGTCATATTATGCAAACCGTAAACTATTCAACAAGCATGCAACAATGTCATGTCACCAAGGATGCCTCAAAATAGTCCCTAAGCATGCCATAACAATGCCAAAACCATGCTTAAACACAAGCAATACATGCTAGAATGAAAGGGTAAAATGTCAAGCACAGTAGGCCAATGAGCATGATTTACACTACAAGTGCATGGAGCAAGCAAGAGGTGTCTGAACCAATGCAAAACAGGGTTATGACATGCCAAAATACTACCAAAAACATGCTGAAGAGGAGCCAAATCATGCTTGAGAAACATGTCACTTTGGTGAGCCTCAAGTAGGATTACACTACAAGTATTAGAAGCATGCAAGGGGTGACCAAACCAAGAAAAAACAGAGCCAAGGCAGGTCTAAAAAGTCACAAAAACATGCTCAAACAAGGGCTCAAGAAGATGGAAACACATGCTCATTTGGTGAGCCATTAACACAAACCGACAAAAGCAAGGGAGGAGGTGCAGGCCCCATCCATTTGGGACCTCAAAACCCCACCCCCACCACTGAAATTCCTCTAGAATTCAGTGGTTAAAAGGCCAAGAGAAGACCAGCTCGGGGGTCAACGAAAGTGGCCCAAAACAAGGCAAAACAAAGCTCAAAAGGGGGTAGATCACCCCCAACACCAAAATGACCTCAAACAAACATGTTAGGGACTTAAAAACAAGACTTTTTTTAGTTGAGAGGTAAGTCTAAAACTGCATGCAAATATGGCAAAACAAGCTATGAAAACAAGGCTTAAAAGACGTAAAAAGCTCACCCTTGAAACACAGCAGCAAATCAGCAACTTTTGGACCAAAAAAAGGCTTTAAATCACCCCAAAAATCACCTCCAAGGACCTCAACTCAATAAAGGGAGTAGAGAACTAGGTGTTTGTGTGCAAAAGTGCAAAAAAAATGCACTTTTGAGCACAATCAAGCCCTAAACCTTTGAGAGAGAGGCCGAAAATGTAGAGAGAGAGATTTTTTTTTGCTCAAAGTTGTATCTCCTCTTTTTTTCTTTTTTTTTTTCTTTTTTTCCCCCTTTTTTGAGAGAGCTTGATTGATATAGATATATATCAATCTGCAGCTCCTCAGAACACCCACGTCCAGGTATGGGTTGGGGTATGGCCTAGAATGACAGTCGTGCCAGCTGTCTACGGAGATATCTGTTGAAAACCACACTTGGCCGACCGGCCATCAAAGTGGCCGACCGGGAGTCAAACTGGCCGGCCGGCCATCACATTTGGCCAATTGAAAAGCAAGGTGGCCGGTGGGCAAGAGGCTTGGTCGACAGGCCATCTCCTTCCCTCAGGAACACATCCACAAGCTCTTGGTGCAAAACCAGACACAAAACAGTCGAGCCGAGAGATCCCGAGGCAAGGCGCGTAGCCGAGGCCTCCGGGAACTCAAGACGAACACAAACAAGGATGATCACCGAGTGTTCAAACGGTGACGTCCAAGTCTTGAGGACGGTAAAAAATGGGGTGACTACAGTTGCCTCTCTTTGACAGAACTCGGAAGTCATAAGATGACGGGAGTGAATGTCAAAGCCCGGAGACGACCCATTTTTGACAAGGCCGAAGACTTAGACAAACATACTAAACAACAAAGGTATGCGCCCGCAGGCCGAGGCAAAATGCAAAAGACAATGCAAGGAACCGAACATAACTAATGATCATCCAAAGAAAGTTGTAACGAAGTATAACATACGACAGTTTTAAGCAAGCATACACCAAACCACACTACAATGCAGAAAGGATGTAAGAGAATTATGCAATTCTCGATACGTCTCACTCGGAGAATACAGTACCTGTCCGGTTCGTCTGGTTGCACCAGCCTCAAATGAACCGTACATACAATATCGTGCCTGCAAAGAAAGCAAACTTAACAGGTACAATATTGTTAGCAACATGCCTAATAATGCAATCGAAAGTGCGTGACAACGCAAGTCGAGTGGGGCGCATAACAATGCTGTGAAGGCACAAACACATGTAAGTAAAGAACACGTGACAACGTGCACAATGTGTATGAATAAATTTGAACACATGTAAGTAAAGCATGCGTGTCTACGCAAGCAATGTGTATAGAAAGATACAAAAAAGAAAAAAATAAAAGAAAAAAAGAAGATAAAAAGAAAATCACAAATAACTACAATACATATATACATATAGACCTACGTCTGTTTGGAGTAAGAGGAAGAGGAGGGAACACGCTTGTTACGGAACATCATGAATCCGACGGGTAATACGACGCCGATCATCATGATCGCTGCTCCGATTATGTAGCGAAGAGGACTCGGTGGTTCAACCTCTATCACCCTCCTGAACTGAAAACACATACCCAATCACAAACATGTATGCGATTTAACCCTAGACTCCTCCCATTGATCAAACAAGATCTACATCCAAATTCATAGAGAGAGAGAGAGAGAGAGAGAGAGAGAGATACAGCAAGAAAGAGAGATGATGAAATTCTAGTGCTAGTGTGGCTTCTTGTTGGGGAGTGGTGTAAAAGTATAAGAGAGAGAGAATGAAGACCGCAATGATGTTTGACAGCGATAGAGGAGGTCTTGGAAGGATAAATTGGTCTATTAAAAATTAATGGGA